TCTACACATACGTGCGGGTTCGTATCCTCGAAATGGGCGCTCAGATCTGCGTGCTTCTCACATAGGGGCACGCGAAAATTTTTTTGGCGGGAAAGCGTTTTCGGGGACGGCCCATGTTAGGAGGCTGGAACTCCACAGGGTTGTTCCTTGGCCGCGCCTAATCCAAAGATTTCAAATTTAGCCTTCACGTGCCTCTAGGCCTCACGTACATACACGTCGAAGTCCAGACTGGCACCATGCCAACTCCAGATTTAAGCTGACTAGTATGCTGTAGAGAGTTGCAATTTTGCAGCTTTACTTGTCGCCTACTGTTGTGTCCGTGGGGGTAAATATTTGTCAGCTCTTCTGCATCTCACGTACGAACACGTAAAAATTTCACGCATGCGCTTTTGTAACTTTAGAATTGAACCAGCCGGAGGCCTGAACTTTCTGAGCATAACCGATGGTGCCCTTTGACCAGATGCACGCAAAAACGACTTACACATCACTTTCATGTCTCACGTACGTTTCACATGCGCACACGTGAAATTTGACGTAACTCCGCACCCTGACCAGCTGGAGCGCTGAAACTTTTTGAGCGTTACCCAGAGCCGTGTTTGAGCAACCGCGGAAAAAGAAAGCATCTACGTCGCCACTCAAGTACGAACACGTGAAATTTTACGGGACTCTGCAACCAGAGCAGCTGAAGTGCTGAAACTTTCTGAGCGTCACCCAGGGCCGTGTTTGAGTAAAAACAAGTGAGGAAAGTATTCACGTTGGCACTCACGTACGAACATGTGAGATTTGACGTAACTCTGCAACCAGAGCGGCTGGAGCGCTGAAACTTTCTGAACGCTACCCAGGGCCGTGTTTGAGTAACCACAAGTGAAGAAAGTATTCACTTTGCCACTCACGTGCGAACACGTGAAATTTGGCGTAACTCTGCAACCAGAGCAGCTGGGATGCTGAAACTTTCTGAACGCTACCCAGGACCGTGTTTGACGAATCGCGGGCGAAGAAACCACTTCCTTTGCCATTCACGTACGTACACGTGAAATTTGACGTAACTCTGCAACCAAAGTAGCTGGAGTGCTGAAACTTTCTGAGTACTCAGGACCGTGTTTGACCAATTGTGGGCGGAGAAAGCACTTACGTTGCCACTCACGTACGGAAACGCGAAATTTGACGTAACTCTGCAACCAGAGCAGCTTGAGTACTGAAACTTTTTGAGCACTACCTGGGGCAGTCTTTAAAGTAACCTCAAGCGAAGAAAACACTTACGTTGCTACTCACGTACGAACACGTGGAATCTGGCGTAACTCCGCAACCGAAGCATCCAGAGCGCTGAATTTTTTGGGCATGAATTGAGAGTCATTGTAATAATTTTTAACAGTCATAGTGGCCAGTTACAATTCTTTTAGCTAGAAGCATCTGCCGGGAAGAGCGTGCCACTGGCGAAAAAAACCTGCGAGGGAACTGTGCAAAAAACGCATCCTCGTACCGGCAGCCGGTACGCTTTCGACTAAGTTTTTTGGTGCTTTTGTTTCTCAGTGGCAACAGAAGGAATGCACATTCACTGTAAATTTATTTATTCCTGAATCATCCAGAAAGACAGTGACTTCTACAGACTTCTGTAGTACAGGGCGATCTAGCGAGAACAACCGGATACATCTTAATTCAGCGGCGCATTTTACAGCACTGAGATCCATTGGCACACGGGGCATAGCCCTGCGAACAGTAACACTGGATCATCGGAGAGTTCTGACACTGCTCCTGGCGCTGCTGCTGACCGCAGTTTTGTTGGCATAATGTTCGACAGGCCGGCTGGCAGTGAGCAGCCGGCAAATTCGATGCGCATTGCTGCGAGCATGTTTGCTGGCACTGCGGCATGCACTGCGATGATTCCAGCATCGGGGCGTGTAGATTTATGCGGATTATCTGCAATGCTTCGTAGCATCAGTTTACTGTTGTGTAACGAAGCACTCGGAGAGGAGCCCAATAGTTCCATTTCTGAAGTTTCAGCCTTCTAGCTTTTCTGGTTCGCGAGTTTAAAGTGGGTAAAAAAAAGTGCGAACACAAAAACACACACACGCACAGCCTTTTGCCAGTAGGCGCTTTTGCGATAGCTGAAAGCAGGTAAGATGGCTGCGCTAACCGTGTAATTCAAGCATGGGCAACCTTTGTCGCCACTCAGGCCTGATTTACATACTGACTTGAGCTCGTGGGCCACATTTTGATAAAACCCAGGTAGCAACGCATCAGGCTTGCCTGTGCGATCATGCGTTTTTGCGCTAAACTTGACGCAGTTAGATAGTTAAAAGTATGAATTGTTGTTGCTCTACAGCTTAACACGTGCAGCTCATGTGCCTGTGTTTTGGTCTTATATACAAAGGAAAAGAGCGTCGACTGGGACGGCTGTGCTACATAATGACTCTCCTTGTTGCTGTGTTGAAATGAGTGAACAAGCACACACACAGTCATTCTTTCGAAATTATGCGTTTTTGCATCTGCACAAGATGCAAAAACGCATAAAAACAGACAAGTTTTTATTACTCAATAAAAAAAAAAA